AAAGTTTTGAAGGCATAAGCTAGAAGATATATCTCAAACACTCAAACACAAATCATTAACGTTTGGCTTTCTACAACACTTGAACAATATAAATGGAGGTAAGTGATTACATTCTGCATTATATTACATATGTAATATTTCAAATTTGGTATCAGAGCCATGCTTCTTGCTTATTTTTTAGTGTTAAAGATACAATGAGGTATATTTATGTTTTTTATTAAAAGTTTGATTATCTCATATTTAAGTTTGGAAATTGTTTTTGGTTAAACTAATTAGAAAATTAAATTCCTTGTGAAATTATGATAGGTCTCGATCAAGCAGGATAAACAACTCTGTGGAATACTCACTTTCTTTGGGTGAAAGATAAACCCCAATTGTTTGTAAGAAAATTATACTTGCTTTATCCATTGCTAACGTTCCAATAAATAGAGTTAAGATTAACAGATCAGATTCAACTTAGGAAACTAACTAGCCTAAAATTCAAGGAAATGAGTTGTAACAACTTTGAATGAGCAGAAGTACAAAACAACAGCAAAAAATAAAATAAAAGGCTGGTTTAGACTTGGTCTAACTCAAGCTAAAAACTTGGGATTCTTCATTCTTCTTAGGGTCTGCTTGGGAGTTTTATGGTAACGGTTATGAGGGTAAACTATCATAGCGGTTTTGAAAGTAAACCACCATAGATGCAGTATCCTCCCGCCAATTGGATCCTTGTCCTCAAGTTCCAAATAAGGAAACTGATTATGTAGCAGTGTTGTGTCCACGTACGAGTATCAGCGTTTCCTACACTACTAACCTTATATAATATTCCCATGTATTCTTGCGTCGTTTGTTATAATACGAGTATCACATGCGCACAATGAAAAAATAGATTTTATAAGAGCTAATCAATTTTGTTTGAAATTTGAAGGTCTCTTGCAGTAGCTATCTTATTATATATAAAATGAAACTTTTTTATAATCATGATGATGAGATCAAACTAATTTATTATTATAAGAAGGTTATAATTTAATAAAGATGTAGTTACAAAAATTACTGTTTTGATTTCTTATTTTATAATTCACGTTTTAATTCTATATATTAAAATTTAATTCATTGTTTTAGTAGTCAGTGTTACAATTAGACAAGTAGAGAAATGAAAGAATAATGAGAATAATAATATGAGAATACAAAAAATTGCGTGTCAAAAAGCTTTAAATATGCTTAAGAAGCTAGAAATATTTTGACCTTAACAAGAAAGCGTCTATACTAGCGAGTTATCACATACCTGTAAGTTAAAAGATGTAGTAACAACTCTAAAACATAAATCATTTTCCTAAACAATTTTTAAATAAACATTAAACCTTTAATAGAACATATATCTGTATATTTTTTTGTAATATACAAATAATTATTATTATGTGGAAGCAATTTTCTTAAGATAAGATTTATAAAAATTATAAGTTATTACAATTTAGAGTTTATTTTTATTTATAATTATATTAAGTAAAGACTAAAAATTTTATAACTATATAAAGGTTATTCCTACTTAGAATAAACGGTAACTTTAGAGGATTTGAAGATGTAAGACATTTTTATCTAGTTATCTTAATCAAGGTTTTAATCAAGTGTGCAAAAATGGGTGTGAAAATACATGATTTATGATTTATCTTAATCAAGTCCACCGGGTCACGGGTTTGACGGGTTGAGTGGTCTGACCGACGGGTTGGACCGTGACATCATCATATTGACATCAGCAAAAAAAACAAAAAAATTTAAAAAAAAATACAGATTTTAATTTTTAACAATGATAACTGATAATAAAAAAATTGCCTGTAACAAATATATCCAAATCGCACACTGCAGAACTGATTTTCAGGTGACATACTGTCATGAGGTCATGTGACTTGCCTAAAATTAGAGAATGTTCTTGCCAAAATTTGAGAAACATATCCAAATGTTTTATTCCCTTTCTGGAAAAAAGGATATCCAGTTTTAAATTTTCAGAATTTAAAATTTTCTGACGAGGAGTACAACACTGAGTGGAACTTCCGTCTAGCTGGCCGGCAGACTGGCCCCCATAAAAAGCCAACCATTGGCGGCAATTGGATAAAATTCTTCAAGATGAGGGGCCTTCGTGAAGGAAATGTTATTCTGTTCTATAAGGAAAGAGATGAAGCCATGCAGAAGCTTTAAACCCATGTGTTATAAAAAACAAAATTTTTATTTTATGATTTTTTATTAATAGCATTTATACAATGCTAAAGATATAATACATCGTAATTTGTATATATAATATGTTTATGCGTGATTTTGACACCAACCAAATACACGTGTGAAATACTGAGCTAGCCTAGAAGAGACACGTGGATGAGAGAGTGAGAGTAAAAACAATGGAGAATAGTGTTAAAAGTGGTTTGGATGCTCAAGGAGGCAAATCCTACGTCCACTAATTTTGTATTAACAATGACTTACAAATGATTACACAAGAGAGAGAGAGAGAGAGAATGCTATTTCTTTAGAGAGATTCCTAATCCCCCAAATGAGAGAGGAGCTCTCAATTTATAGTGGGATGGGTTAAGGTTATGATTACTAAATCTGTGAGTTGGTGAGATTATTCGTGCAAATCCTTGTTTATGTCTCATTGCCCACCTTCTAGAGCGATTTACGCGATTTGGTGCAAGGATTAGACACGTGGAATCACTCTAGCTCCTGACTGGTCTGACGTGCACCCATTGTCTTGATAGGAGCATGCCGTTCATGTCATTGTGTGACGTGACTGTCTTTGACTGGTTGCGGACCTATCTAAGCTCTGACTTTTTATGCTGACTCAGTTTTACGTCAGCTATACTTTTTCAGGCATAACATAAAATAATATCTAGGCTTATAAATATATTTCAATCCATTTTCATATATTTAACTTTATATTTATTTCATGTTATTTCACTTTAGGTAAATCGGAATAGCATTATGAAAATACTTTTAGACATAATAATATAATAAAAGGATATTCTTATTACATTCTACAAATTATACATTAAAACGATTTAAACAACAATTTTGATACAAGACACCTATGTTCATAATGTATAAATATGATAAAATTTTATCTTTTGTTACGGCTTAATTTAAACAAAATAATAACTTTTTTGTTTTAATAAATTATATAATATATCATTATATTAATACATCAATATAAAATTTGTGAAAGAGTGAACGACATGTTCCCACCTAAGGTTTATTGAAATCCCGAGTGGTACTGGTTTCATAAATTCCAGATTCCCACCCTTAAATGGATACCGTTTCCTTTATTTTATCCGTTAAAGGCTAAAATTGTATTTTTCTCTGTTCCCTTCCCATTTCTTCTTCATCTCTGCCTCCACCTCCTATCTTCTTCTTTTTCCTTCATCTCATAACGGTCTGCCATTTCAGGTCCACCCGTCTGGTTCTGGCGGAATCACCATCACCACCACCAGCTAGACATCACCATTCACCACCACCTTTCAACACCATTATGACCGAAACCCCGGAAGTCCCCACCACCACTCACCACTTTTCCACTCATCCACCACCATCACAATCCCTCTAAACCCCAAAGCCCCGCTGCCAAACAAGCACCGCCAAATCACTCACACATTCAGCGACAAAACCAACCCAAAAACCATCACCAGATCACTCATAAATCCAGCCACAAACCCATCCAAAAACCACCACCAAATCACTCACAAATTCAGCCATAAACCCACACAAAAACCACCACCAGACAAATCACAAATTCAGCCGCAAACCCACCCAAAAACCACCACCAAATCACTCACAAATTCAGCCACAAACCCACACAAAAACCACCACCAAACAAATCACAAATTCAGCCGCAAACCCACCCAAAATCCACCACCAAATCACTCACAAATTCAGCCTCAAAAACACCCAAAATCCAACATCAAATCACTCACAAATTCAGTCACAAACCCACACAAAAACCACCACAAACTCAGCTATAAATCCATCTAAAAACAACCACAAACCCACCACAAACTCAGCCACAAACCCACCTAAAAACCCAGATTGGAAACGCGAGAGTTCATCTGGGAGAGAGAAATGAAACTGAGGTTTTGTTGAGAGAAGAAGAAGGAAAAAGCGGCAATCCAAATCTGGCCACAGTGTGATGGCCTTACGGCGGCCAAATCCAGTCGCCTCGGAGTTCGGACAAGAGAGAAAAGGGAAGAACAAAGAGAGAAGGAGCAAGAAAAGAAGAAAAGAGAGGAGGAGGAGGAGAAGAAGAAGAAGAAGAAGAGGAAGAAAAAAGAAGAAGAGTAATGCTATGCTTACTCACAATCTTACTAACCTCTTACTATCTTGTATAAATATAACGGCATAGTACGGGTATGGTACCCGTACTATGCCGTTATATTTACACAGGATAGTAAGATGTTAGTAAGATTGTAAATAAGCATAGTTTTATTGAAAAAAGAATGGGTAGAAGAAAAGAAGAGGCAACTGTGGTGGTGGTTAGGGATGTGGTGGGTTTTGAATGGGATGTGAAGAATAGAAGAGGAGATGAAGAAGGAGAAGGTCTAAGGGTATTTGGTAAAAGAACCATATGCCCCTATGTCGTCACTAACGACATCCATTTAATGGTGGGAATCTGGAATTTATAAAATCAGGGGTACCAACTGGGGATTTCACTTAACCTTGGGTGGGTACATGTCATTTACTCTTTGTAAAATAATATCATAAAACGTGTAATACTGTATTGTAGCCTAGCCTAAGCCTCAAAATATAATTTAGATAAAAAATTTTAATTCTCCGACCTTTTTAATTCACGTGCACACAAAACGTTTTCCACGTGCATAAGAACACTGATCAGTGATCATCGGACAGAATCATTTTCCGAGCCCTAATCACCAAGTGGCACATCATGTAATTTCAACCAGATCCTTACCTCTTTTGGTAAATTCATTTCAAATTGTTAATGTTCACAGAACAGATAAGCCTATAAAGTCGTTCATAATCGTGCCTTTGACTTTACCCAAGGGTACTGATTTGTAAATCACAATCTCTCCGATTTCGCTCTAAAATTCTTCAGATTTATTATCTTGTTCTTCGATTCGATTTCTTTTTCGTTCTATTCGATTTAACCTCTATCGGTTGATCCCGCTTTCGTTTCTTATTGTTCTGGGATTTCTATTCTAGGGTTAGGGTTTCGAAATTCTCTTAAAACATTCGATTCGTTTTCGATTTTGTTTGATCTGTGAATCTTAGGGTATATACTAGCTTTTATTTGTCCGTATTTATCTGGGTCAGCCTTCATTTCTTGGATTCTTTGAAAAGTTTGAAACTTTATCGGGGCTTTCGAAGCTTCGAATTTTCGATTGATTTATATTGTGAAAATTGGGATTTTTTCTGTTGGGTTTAATTGAATTTTAATTTGTCCGCTGGTGTTATTAATTGAGTTCTTCAGTGGAAGATTTAGGTGAGAACTACCTCCTTTAGCCCTTGTGTGATTTTTAAATTTATATTAGTTATTGAATTTATTTATATGGTGATATTTGGAATGTTGTTTCTGATTTTGATTCTTTTTGGAATCTCGAAATTTATGTTTAGTATCATAATTTATTTTCATTTATACGGTTACGACCTTTATATTGTTATATGGATAGTACATTGTGGCTTTGTAGATACACTGAAGAACATTTTGCGGATATTGTATTGCCGTTGTAAAAGTTGGAAATGGAATTTTTTAAATGTTATGACCTGAGTGCTTAATGTTTCTTTTTGCCATTGCATTATGCTCTGTTGCATTCGAAATATATGTTAGTTAAAATAGAGAAAAAAAGATATTGCTATAATGCTCTAGGAATTGAGAACATGCTATGGCATTAGTGTGACACGAGGCTTGGCCTTGCCTACCTAGCGATGGAGTGGGATTAGAAATAGTTGTAGGATGCTTCTGTTGTTGGGAGAAAAGAGTTTTTCTATAACTTTTGGCTTTGGTTTTTCATTTTTGACTGCCTCGTGTTGTTGCACTCTATAATAAGATGACTCTATATGATATTAGTTATAGTAAAAGTTAGATGCCTACCTCTTTCTAGTTCATATATGTTTGTATGTCCCTTTTTGTCAAGTGCTCTTCTAGTTCATATGTGAAAATCATGACCTTGACATTATACTAAACATAGGATTAGATGTTTCAATATACTTAACTGAAACTAGATTTCTCCTGCTAATGGTGGATTATTTGAGGCTCTTTGTTATTTATAGTCACTTCATACAGTTTTATATCAAAAGCTTGTTCCAATTTACATTTTATGTGATTTAGTAGTAAGCCTTTTTTTTTGTGTGTGTGTGTGTGTGTGTGGTTCAAGCTATTTTTAGTCCAAATTTAAAATCCAGCTTTGAGCATTTGCTGAGGCTATATATGTCTTTGGATTTGCATTTTTAAATCTCCTGAAGACAAGTTGATTTTTCAGAGAAAAATGATTCACAAAAGACACTATGCTGATGAGGATTCTTTTGAGTTCCCTTGTAAGCACCCAAAACTGTGTGACTACACCAATCACCTTGCTCCTATCATGGATTTCAATCCTTCCAATGATGCTGGTCTGGAACCTCAAACTTCAGGTAAATAATTTGTAATTACATGTATGTAGAATTTGGTTACAATTAAATTGATCTTCTTGTCCATGCAACAGTGTTGAATGTATATTCTTCAATTTTTTTTTTTTTTTTTATCGACTAAATTCCAATATGAAGAAGATGGAACCAGCCACAGCTTCAGCAAATGTCAAGATCAAAAGGCATTTGCATTTGATTCTGTTACAGAAGTTTCAAATGGGACTGATGAGGAATTTGAAATAGGTACTTCTGGCTGTATTTCTCAATTTCTGTGGGAAAACAGCAGCATTGCCGAAGCAGATGCTAAGTTTGAGGCAGCATTTCATCTGTCATTTTTTCCAGAATATTTTGCCCCTCAACACCAGCTAAGGGCTTTGCTTCAATCCGATGAGACTTATTCATCTCTTCTTGAAGTTCCTCCTCTGATTCCAGTTTCTATTGGACCTGAGCATCAAGCTGATGTTCCTGAATGGAACCCAAGGGGTTCAAAGAGCTTTGTGGATAATCTGGATGTGTCAGGCCATCAAGTTGAACTTGCACCTTCTCCGGATTTTAGCCTTATTGTTGATGATGGTGATGAGGAGAAGCTGATGGGTACTTGTGTCATTTCAATGCCTGATTATGAAATGTCTGCCAATTATTGCTCAGAAAGATGTGGAATCAGAAATTGTTGTAAATGCATTGATAGGGATTCTATTGATTGTGTCAGACAACATGTTATGGAAGCCAGAGAAAAACTTAGGCAAAACCTTGGGGAAAAAATATTTGAGGAGTTAGGTTTCTGTGAAATGGGAGAGGAGGTCTCAAAGAGATGGACTGAAGACGAAGAGCAAGCTTTCCATGAAGTTGTCTTTTCTAACCCTGCATCAATGGGGAAGGATTTTTGGGACCATCTCTCATTAGTTTTCCCCTCCCGAACAAAAAGGGACCTTGTCAGCTATTATTACAATGTCTTTATACTACACAAACGTGCCAATCAAAACAGGTTTGACCCGCAGAATGTTGACAGTGATAATGATGAATGGCAAGTAAGTGAACTTGAAGCTGGTACGGCAGAGGAAGATGAGGACTCTGGTGTTGAATCTCCAACCAATCAAGATGCTCCCGCTTGTCAGGAGGATCATGCAAAGGACTGCCAAGATGACATTGAGGATGAGTATGAGCAAGAATATTCTAAGAATGGTGCTCAGGTTGTCTCAACTGTTGCAAGTGATGAAGATGAAGGAGATGTGGATGATATATCTGTACAACATGTTAAGAACTCCTTTGGTGACTCTGGTGGCAACACCGACTTACATCTTTTGAGTAAAATTCAAAGCAGTTACAGGGAGGAGGATGATGTACAAGATGATTCATGCACATCATATGAATTTGAGCAAATTGAAAGCTGTGATCCACTTTATACAGGGACTGATCAAAAGCAGTCTAATCAAGATTGATGCACATGCTGTATGTATTAAATGTCGTTGGGTTAATTGAGCATGAATAGGTTATGTTTTGAATCCTTGCAATAGTAAAGCTTGGATACTTATACAAGAGGGAAAGAGTTGATTTTGTTAATGAGTGTTCATGTCTGATCTCCTAAATTATATTTGGCCATGGTTGGCATAAAATATTGGTGCTGGAAAGCCTTTGAGGGATAATTGGGGTGCAACTCCCAGAAGATCCATAATTCTGACAATAAGGAGGAGTTTGCATTGGTGTCTCAAAGGGGATGCTCATGGAATCTTCCCTTGAATCTGCTGGTTGCCACTGTTATCAGCAAGACAAAGTCCTGATCTTTTAGTTATTGGGATCAGTCTCTTGAGAAATAGTATATTTATATTGAGGACTCCAGAGTCAAGATTTTGATGGGAGTCATATAAGTTGAAAGATTTTCATTTTTTATTGTTAGCTTTATTCTTTGCCCTTATTTGTTATTTGTTTTCTGTAGCAGTTCTGGCAAGAATGGCCTTGCTATCAATGTAACACTTAAATTCATGAGGCAATAAAATTAGTTGCTCCATCTTGTCGCTTATCCCTACTGTCTCAGTTCCTAATTCTGCATGTATAGATTTTTAAATCGCTCACAGAATTACTGTTACCAGGTATATAGTTTGGCAGAAAACCATTCATAAGCCACTGTGCTGAAGTGATTATGTTGTTATAGTCATTAACAGGATTGCCAACTATTTATAAGGTTAGATTACTAGATTATTTGGTCTAATTCAATTCAATGTAAACAAAATTTCTCTCTCTCATCTAATCACTTAAGGTACTTTTTGTCACTGATTTAACTCACGTAGTCTGTTATTAGTGAGAGATATTGAGTAGTTTAATAGAGACTTTTGAATGTATTACTCAAGAAGTTATAAGTTTGAGTCCCTTCTCGGTTGCTAATAAGGATAGTCATTGGAACTCTTATCCAGCCGACGGTTCTAGGGCCTTAGGATCTGCTTGGGAGTTTTTTTTTTTTCACTAGTTTTGGGGGGTTTTTAATTAGACTGGTTTTGAGGTGTTTTAAAACCATTACTTGCCAAATATTTTATGGATTAGTTTTGACTAGTTTAAAAACCATCCAAAACCAATGTAGTGTATTTTTTAGGGGTTTATAAAACAGCCCAAATCAGGTGTTTTGGCGGGTTTAAAAATTTTATCCTTAAAAAAACCCCTTTCCACTATTATGAATCTCTTTCAAAGTTTGCTGTTCTTGGATATGAATTGGGTTATTCAATGAAAAATCCGAACTCATTGGTAATGTGGGAAGCTCAATTTGGCTTTTTTGGCATATATTTTCAGCAAATCTAGTTGTCGAGTGGAAGTCAAATTACCAAGTATGCTAATAGTGTCAGCCTAACGAATGTCATCAACTAAATTACATATTTTAGGGAGAACATACAACTAAATTAAATAATATACAATGAAGAACTTACAATAAATTAAACTTACAATAAATTAAACTTAGAAGGAACTTTGATACTAAGTATTGGTAATTGAAAAAAAAAAAAACTCCCAAGTACCAGTTGAAGTTAGAGTATTTTTATAGGCATATATGTAAATTTATCATTTTTAAAAACTGTCAGAATTGTTGGAAAATAAACTGCCAAGCACAGGTTGAATGTTTTAAAAGCTGCTACTAAAAACCCCTCAAAACTACTACGGTGGTTTACCCCCAAAACCGCTACGATGGTTTGCCCTCATAACCGTTACTATAAAACTCCCAAGCAAACCCTTAGGA